TTCATTATTAGATTTTAAATTTTATTAATTCTTGCAAAATCGTTATAATTATATAAATACAATAGTTTTCTAAGATTCTTTATATTGTTTCTTTTTTCTCTTTCTCTGTCTTTTCATTTCTTTCTCTCTTTTCTGTTTCATACTATCATGGGTTCTTGGCGACATATTAGTTAAGGGTGGTGCTTATTTCACCAACAATCACTTTACCGACAGCTTATTTCACCAACAATTAATTTACCGACAAGTTCATTTCACCAACAATTAATTCGCCAACAGCTCATTTCACAGACAAAGTAATTCTGGCCATTGCCGTTAAGGTCAGGCTAGAATTAAAGTTAAGGTTAGTGTAGTTTATAAAAAAAACTTGTTGATGAAATGAAGTTGTTAGTGAATTAATTGTCGGTAAAATGAACTTGTCGATGAATTAATTGTTGGTGAACTAAGATGTCAGTGATGTGATTGTCAGTGAATGATATGTATCTATTAGTCAAGTCACTATTATTCAAGTCATCCCTTAATACTAAACATGAATAACAAGGCCTTCTTGATACAGATGGCTGATAAATGTTAGCCAACGTGCTAGCCTCAAGCAAGTTAGCTAATAATATAGAAATTCGTGGGATAAATGTTATTATGTTATCACAAACAACAAAATTAAACTCTGGATTATTAATAATGGGCTTGATTAAAATTCTTAAGCATTCATAAAAGACTTTTCTTTTTAATTTTTGAAATTCTTTGGAATTTTTCATTGTGGAATCTTTAGCCTTTAAGATAGGTAAGTACCTAATTAAAGCTTTGATTCTGGTTTGTTTCGCTGGGAGTTAGGAATGTTACCTAGAGTTTGAACCCAGTTTTATTTTTTATATATTAAAACTAATTAAAACTGATTTATAATATGAAAAATAAAACCGATTCCAAACTCTAATTGTTACTTAGGGATAAAAATATGGGGTGCTCAGAAAATTTTCCTATATGGTCTAGGATAGTTGCATTAAATAAAAGATTATTGATAGTAATTGTTGACCAAGAAGTAATGATGATTCTTCTTGTTTCCATCAGAGGCAATTATATTGCTCTTCAAAGATGCGGCACTCCATGTTATTTCTTATCTCCCTTCTATTTTCAAAGTTAAGTACCAATTGCTGATTTATACTATCGATCATTAATAAAGACTTTATTGTCTTTATTAATGATCAATAGTATAATGTATACTTAACACCTTGATATATTATAATAGGAATTTCTTTGAACATCATATAAGGGATTGTTAAATTATCCAGAAATTCCTTTCCAATCTTTGCTGTTAGAGGAAGGGGTGAAACATCCAAGTTTGAATACTTATTGAAAAATTTTATAAAAACATTACCAACTAAATTAGACAGTTGATGTCTACTGACTATTTCCATAAATTCACAATATGCATCGTTGGGCCAGTCAACTTTGTGTAGATGATGCAGGTTATTAAAAGCATCATCAAGTGAAGCTCTTTTGTAGTCTTCTAGATCAATATTGATAGATTCTATAAAAAGATCAGAATCTGCTAAAGAATGCTCTGTTTCCATATCGGAATAAGATGATATGTCTTCATTCTAATATATAATTATTAAACAATATTTTGTAACCAATAATAGTATTTATAACCAACTTACCTTATATGCCATAGAATTTTCATCATAGTTATTTTTTGTTTGCATAGAACCAGATAAAGATGACTCTGACATAACTTTGTCCTTAATTAAATATAATCATTTATTATCATTTTAAAACTTTAATAACAAATCATTACTAATTTACTCTATATATTATAGAAGATTCATTTGAAGAAAAGTCATAACTAGAGCTATATTTTAGAAGATTCCAAATGTTATCATCTAATTGCTTAGCAGGAACAGATTGATTTGTCGTGTCATTAATATAAGGATAACTTTGAGAAATGTGACAAGTTAATGCTTGAGGTCTTGAAAAATTACGAATACAATATGGATATTGCCAATGCATTTTAGAAAAAATAGAGAAACAGAAAAGAGAGAAAGAAATGAAAAGACAGAGAAAGAGAAAAAAGAAACAATATAAAGAATCGAAGGAAAACAAATGAAACCGAAAATAAGTGATATTAAGCGAAGAGAAAAAGAAAAGAGAGAAACAATATAAAGAAGTGAAGGAAAAAAATCAAACTGAAAATAAGCGATATTAAGTGAAAAGAAAGAGAAAGGATAGAAACAAAGTAAAGAAATGATGAAAAACGATTTAAACTGAAAATAAGTGATATTAAGCGAAGAGAAAAATAAAATAAGAAAATAAAAGGGATGTTAGGATCACCAGAACCTAGATTCTGTTTTTCAGATTTAAAAACAACAAATGATAAAAAAGAAAATAAAAGGAAAATTAGATTAAAGTGATTATCAATTATAAAAGGATCAAAGAAAGTTATGAAAGAATGTCTAAGAGTAATATTCAGAGAGAATTTGATTTGTAACTGTATCTATATATTAATTTATATCGATTTATATCGATTTATAACAATTTAACTTTATTTTTCTATCAAAACAATTTTATCACAAAACTAACTTTGTAAACAACTTGCGTTATATTATGTATAATATAATAACATGGGCAAATTGGTGTTATATGAGTGCCACTAAAAGAATACCTGAGTCACTGGGCTTTCAATTGTATTTTGTACCGGACATATTCCTAGTAAATTAAATAGATTGTGTCCAGTACAAAATACAATTGAAAGCCTGATAACTTAGATATTCTTTTAGCAGCACTCATATAATCTTATTGAGTGTAATATTATTTAGATTTGTGACGAAATTATGCAATATAGCAAAAGCTCAGCTATACGATAAATCTCAGAACATCATCATTATAAGTATAATGACTAAAAGTCAACAGATAAGTATCTCTCTTTTATTTACGTTATGTTTTTCATTATTAGATTTTAAATTTTATTAATTCTTGCAAAATCGTTATAATTATATAAATACAATAGTTTTCTAAGATTTGAAGGTAAGGACATTTTTGAAATTTTGAATAATGGAAAACTTATCTTCTACTACCCCTACTCAACATGCTCATTCTCAATCAATTTCTGATACATTACATAATACCACTGACCCTAAACAACTGCCTCAAACTGATCATTCTCAATCAGTTTCTTCTAATGCACCATATAAATCCACCGATCCTCAACCAATGTTTACTAATACACTATATAAATTTGCTGATCCTCAACCAACATCTAACAATGCTAACCCTCAAAAACAACCTAAAAATCCTTGTTCTGATGATGATTCAGATTCATCTACAAAAAGTATTTTAAGTGTGCAATCCATTTTTTCTAAAATGAGTAGAAGAGGCTGACAACAAATATCTCAATACCAACAATCTTAACAACAACAATCTCATCAACCTTCTCAAAGACGCTCGCCTCCTCGTTCTTGTCATACAACACCGAATAACGATTTAAATCATTCCTTATTGCCGCAGCCTTCATCTGATCATGAGCATAGAGGAAGATTATATGATAGAAGATCATCCAACCAAGATGCACCATGTTAGTAATTTTTTCAATATATAAACCTTTTTTTTTTTTTTTTTTTCTTTGAATACTTGAATTTTATTTTATTTTTTTTTTATTATTAAGAAATTTTTTTTTTGATTTTCGTTAAAAACAAAAAAAAAAAAAGACCGTCGACACTACCACCAAGAGTTCAAACAACTTTATACACAGAATTGCCAGTTGTACTTATTATTAAAACAGCTCAATGAGAATGTTCAAGGAATAGCCACTGAACTAAAAAAGAAGCGAGAAGAGTATGACAATGAGCTCTCCCCTCAAGTGATGGATGTAAATGATTTTTCCTCTTAATATGTTTTTCTATATTTAACCTGTTTTTTGATTTAGCCTGTTTTTTGTAACTGTTTTTTATTTTAAAGGGAATATATAATGGCATTGTAAAACGTTTATTTCCATTCCATGTTTATCCAAACCAAAATGTCCTGAAAGAAGCTATAAAGAGCTACCTTGAGGATCAATTCCCTGAGTTCTTGTATAGTATGACTTCTAACTAATTTACAAATCGTTTTCATGGTGAATAGTGTAGTGCGATACGTTATTAATCGATAATAATCGATAATAATTGATAATAATCGATAATAATCAATAATAATCGATAATAATCGATAATAATTTTTTTAATTTGTTATTATTATTAATTGCTTATAATATTATTTTATATTGCGATCTTTGCATTATAGTATTACAGCTTTAAATATTTTAACTGTATAAATTTGTTATTTTAATAGCTTCTTCAAAAAATAAAGAATTATAGAGGTTCAGCGGTGCAGAGCATTAGGTCTACAATGTTGAAAGTTTTTGAATTAGAACAGTTACCTTCCTTGAAAAGTAACGCCAAGGCCTATGTAATCGTAAAGTGGAAGGAAAATCCAAAAATAAGCAAATGCCATCATTTATTATTTGAAAAAAACGATGATGGTTTGTTCTGGATCTCTGTAATAGCAAGGACTACATTTTCAGAAGTTGCAGTTCCTATTCTAACAAATGAACATTGTGCTTTTGCACTTGCGGTGTGCGACATATTCTTGCATCCCAAATCTAAAAGTATTATATGCAATGAGAAAAATATGAAACATCATATTAAAAGCTATCTTGTATGTATTTACCATTTTTCTTTATTTCTTTATTATAAGATTATTGTACAATACTAACGTTTTAATAAATATAGAATGATTTTAATAACGATGGTCCCTCTTATAATTCGTCGAAAATGATTATGGACAATGAAGCAGGGGTTGGCCCTGTTCTGAATCACAGGCGAATACTTCTGAATTCGGATCTAATACTCCTTCTCAGAGTAGTGGTTCTATAGCTCTTTTTTCACAAGAAGATCTGGATGATTTGTTTGGTTTCACAAATTATGTTGATTAATTTAGTTTTAATTTAGTTTTAATTAGTTATGTTTGTTGCATGTAATTCAATGATTTGTATTTTTTATTTTTCAATTAATAAATTCTATTGCAATAAGCATTTTTTTTTGCATATTAAAAAGTAATTATTTGATTTTTTAGTATTGATTTACTAAATATGAATAATAAGTATACAGTATGATGATATTGATATAGTATAATTAGAAAAATTCGATTAAAATCGTTATGCATATGTTAATTGATACGAATTGAGATTTTTATCAATTTCTATCTAAATTGATAAAAATCAACAGGATTATTATCGATTTCTATCTAAATCGATAGTAATCGGCAGAATTACTATTGATTTCTATCTAAATCAATAGTAATCAGTGAGGGAGATTTAAATCGATACTTATTTAATAACCATTTAAAATCGATACTAATCCTTTTGTAAATTTTGCTGATGACTTGCCTGTATTACTGAAACTAAATTGTCAATATTACAAACCTTTATTTTTGTAATAACAACTTATTTATCTACTTTTGGGCTAACTTAAATAGCTCAGCAAAAGGAACTGCTATTATGATTTGCAACTACCTTAAATCTCATATTCACAACTGCCAAACACATCTTAGTAAAATAATTGCTTTTGATTTTTCTTTAAAAGCAATATCAAACTCCACATTATAGACATTTATTTTTTATTATATATTAGTTATTATTTAGATAGTATATTTTATAGTAATTATATAGGAATATTCTAATTGGCTATTGGAAATGTGGCACAGTCACATGACCTCATATGACCTCAGGTGATACAAAGTTATACAAAAGAATACTTTAGATTACACAAAAGTATTACACAAGAAAGTAATACAAGTTCATCTTTTTCAACCACACGAACACCTTCTTCCCCTGCACAAACATCTAATTCCCCTGCACAAGTTCTAAATGTTTTAAATACAAAATACTGTGCAGCAAAGTCCTCTAATTCCCCTACACGAGATGTAAATAAATATAAACATGATAAGTAATATTTATATGTCCTCTACTTCACCCAGCACAATCACCTTCTTCACTCAACACGATCCCCTACTTCCCTCTACACAAGTTCACCTTCTTTATCTGCCAAGTGTTACTCATATACTGTGCATCATGTATCCTCTTTGTGGATAAAAAGATATATAAAGGGTGCCTTTTCTCTCTTCCTGCCAATTCTTAAGTTCCTACACTTCGCTTAGACTCTGATACTCTTTATCCCTTCTTATTTTGTAAAGTGTAATATTCCTCCTCTAGGGTAATTCCTACAGGCAAGGCTTATCACCATTCTTGTATTAAATAAAGCTATCTTATATACTGTTACTATCTTGAACCGTTTGCCTGCTGCTGTGTAGTTAAGTGAACAACTACACCTCCACTCTATATATATTTGCAATAGTTAATCACTGTACTAGGTAACTTTGTTACTTGGTTGTATCTTACTAAGAAGACTACAGCCCTGTAACAACATAATAATGTTTTTAGTATATTATTTAAATATTATCTTATCAACTATCTACACTACTCTAATATATATAACCTTGGTGTATATACTAATAATATACACTATATATAAAAACAATAGTAGCCAAAGCCACATTGACTATATTTGAACAGACTTATTCAATATTCAGTTCTTTCTCTTAAATAATCTTGACAATAACTATACCTTTACATTTAGTGACCACTCTATTCTTTTATCTTTCTGAACCTTTACTAATGTATATAGCAAACCTCCATACTATTATACTGATATTAGCCAAAGAATTTTTAACTACAAAAGTATATTGTCTAAAAAGTAGACAAAATTTTCTGATATTCTTACTAACAATTTTAACTTACATCACACACCTCTTAGTATTAATACTAATGAAAGTCTTAAAACTACTTGGTACAAAATCGAATACTCAATTATTAATATGGCAATACATACTATTTCTAACAAAATAATTAGAAAACTAGTTATAATCATCAATACACACCTCATTGTACTTCACTCCATTTATCACTTAAAGAACTTAATTACATAATTAAAATTGTTAAAAATAACAATAATAATATAGACACCAATCTAATTAATTCTAAAATTCATAATACAGTCAGGAAAAATACTATATTTAATTATTTAAGATTTTACCTAATTTAGAAAAAATTATCTATCAGACTATTCTAGATTTTCTTTTCAGATTATTCTATATACTATAATTATTAGCCAATAAATTTATAATACTATAATGCTAATACTGTAATAATATTGCTAAAACAAGATCTCTTGAAATGTCCGCTTTACAATAGTTCTAAATATATAGTTTAGTATGGATCTAATTTATAAAAGCACTATATAACTATATAATTTACTTTTTTACAGCTTTTTATAAGTATATATCATTAAGTTCACTGTTTTTTCTTATTATAGTTTAAGGAATTCACTTAAAGTCTAACTGTATATAGTTTTAGATTGTGAAATTAAAGCAGAAATATTATAAGTATATCTGTTAAAGTTATTATATTAAGATTTATTTCAATTTTAACCTTTTTATTTAATACTAATGGGGTGTAGTGACTTAGTGAAGTTGGTAAGTTGTCATTTTTCCAATAGCAGGTCTAGAGTTCAAATCCTACTAGCGACAATTTTGAAAAATAAAATTTGTTTCGGTAACATTTATTTGATGATCGGTTAGATGTACTATCTATAATCTTTGTATCACCATCTTAAATGGGAGCTTCTGTGTGAAGTTGTGTGACATCACACAGACAAAACCAAGGAACTGGAATAATTGAAACCCATTTGGAAAGAGCTGAACAAGGAGGTAGTAAAGATCTTTGACGATATTGCAGAAGCCAGAAGCTCAGAAACCAGAGACCAAAGAACTAAATGAATAACTCTGAAGCAAAAAGGGTTCACCAACCTGGCCGCCGGAGTTGCACTAGAGAAAAAGGTTCTATGCTGCAGAATTAGGAACCAAAGGAAGAGAACCATCAGATACTTAAAGTCTAGATATACCAACCTATCCAGACTAACTGGTTTGAAAATTTGGGAGAGATCAGTATAAGGACCAGAAAGAAAGTAGATGTAGGTATTGGGATTGAAACGAACCTTGTAAGGATAGAAGAACCAGGAATTGTGCGGTTTAATGATCAGCCCTGACTTCTAGTATTGGTTTTGGTTATAGCAGACAGGTTCTCTAAACCTAATTCAGAAATGTATAGGATATAAAAGAATTAGAGAGACAGCTACTACGCCCACCTGTAGGGACCCTAGAAAAACCAATAGGGTAACTAAGCTCAGGTAAATAAGTGAGGACACTTCAGTATAAAGATACCTAGCTTAGAATAATTGGTGGGTATGTATGATCAGAGGGTTTAAATAGATAATCCCCTAGTTGGGTTATAGGTATAGCATCTAGTGTAGAACCTTCAGGCAGACTACTTAAATAGGTGGACGTCTAAAGCAGAGGCAACTCATATTTAATAATTTTTTCGATTAACTTTAGGGTTAGGGTCTTCTATATTGGGATTAGACTAGGTTTTAGTAAATAAATATAAGCAAAATTGCCTTCTCAACATTTTTAATTAACTTACCTGAGGTAGGTTTAGACTGCCGTTTTTTGTATTTTTCAGGTTTTTTGTTTTTTTGTTTCGCTAACGATCATCAAAATTCTGTAATTTTATTGGCTGTTGATCACATGATGTGCCTCCGCTTTAGACAACCTCTTAAATAGCCAACCAAAAGTTGTATGTGTAGCTAGTTGTACTCTCATTGTAATACTAAATGTAGACTCATGTAGTCAATAGCTAAATATTAATAAAGCTTGGTCCCTTATAAAAAAAAAAAAAAAAAAACAAATTTAATACTAATTTTACTCACTTTTTTTTGTATAAATTATTATAGAATTTTT